ATAATTCCTAACATTTAGTTTTCGTTGGAGAACAACAAAGTTATCTTGCTTTTAAAACTACAATTCCATAGATACTTACACTTGAATGTAGTGAAATCATTTTTCCAGGTCACAAAAGAAGTATCTCTCTTATCCAGGTGGATGGCTATCGATCTGTACATCAGAGAGGTTGATAGCTTAAGATTTGAATTGTCTACGGATCGATGTAGTGACAGGTTTTCAAGATTAGCAGATGAAATTCTTGAAAAAGGTATGTTTCTATCATTTTCTATTAAATCTTCTATTCATATATATATTTTAGTAAATTCTTAAAAGTTGATGTCTCTCCTCAGAATGTTACGAAAAAAATTATGAAAGAGGCCAATCAAATTTTGTAAACCAACCAAATCCATCCCTGCCTACACAACTTCCAGATAGAGCTCACCTTCCGTCTTGTATTGGTAAAACAAAATTCTTATATTATGCGTTGTTAAATATTCCCAACATCCATATTTTTTCATGCATTCATGTTTTCATATCTCATGCCATTGCAGAATATGGTAATTCACAGCATCCTAAATTTGAAATTACTACGACGACAGATTACATGCCACCAAATCTTCAGGTATAAGCCTTTGAAGATATTGACATATGGCTGAATTGCTCCATTCTAAAAAAGTCTTTTGATATTCTTTTCATTATTTTTTCTTACACACAGAAGCAGCAGAATGAACAAGAATATCCGAAAATCGAGCCGAAGGAAACCACCGATGATTCGCAGCCAGGTCTTACTTCCCGAGGTTCATTCTCGTCTACCTCTCAACTTCTCTTCCAGAGGAAACTATTTGCGGAATCTCAAATTGGGAGGGCTAGTTTTCAAAAGCTACTAGAACCACCTCCACTTAAACGAGCCGGAATGGCTCCTTATCGTATTGTTCTTGGAGAAGTAAAAGAAAAGGTCCTACTCCAAAGCTTTTTAATCAAGATAGTATAAATATTCAGATACTTGTAATTAATGCATTAGTATTCTTAGTTAGTATAAAGCTTGAAAGTAAATAATTTGCTCTAACTGATTCTTAAATTTAAATTTTTTATGATCACAGCTTGTGAAGACAAGAAAACTCCTTGAACTTCTACTTGAGGGTCTTCCTTGTGAGTATGATCCTTTGGTATCTTATGAAACATCAGATCAACTTCTGGAGCCATTGCTCCTCTGTTACGAATCTCTGGTAAAAATTCTTAATTCGATGTGAAACTGGTGTTGCCATAAAATTCAATGATCTTTAATATAATTCATTTTCTCAGCATTCATCTGGTGCTGGTGTACTAGCTGATGGGCGTCTTGCTGATTTAATCCGTAGAGTTTCTACCTTTGGCATGGTTTTGGTGAAACTTGATTTACGCCAGGTGAATTTGTTTTTGTTCTATCTTACTGCTTTCCATCTTTTTTTTCCGCAAATCGACGATATTAATTAGTTCAAAACCACTAGACTGGTCACTTGTTTCTGGTCTTCTTGCTAAGCGATTGTATTCTTAATCTATACCTGATTCATTTACCAGGAATCTGGGAGGCATTCTGATGCTTTGAATGCAATTACAACATACTTGGATCTCGGTACTTATAGCGAATGGGATGAAGAGAAAAAGCTAGATTTTTTGACAAAAGAACTTAAAGGAAAACGACCCCTTGTTCCTCGGTGTATTGAGGTAATCAGCATGCATTTCTATGCCTATGTTTTAGCATGTGCAAGTGGCACAATCGAACATGGGAGTTAAAAGAAACATTATTATGTTATATATGACTTGTGGTCTCTATAATCTCTTCAGGTTGTTCCTGAAGTTAAAGAAGTATTAGATACATTCCGAGTTGCGGCTGAGTTTGGAAGTGAATCACTTGGAGCTTACGTGATTTCTATGGCTTCATATGTATGATCAATTTTGATTAATCGAACAATTCAAGAACGAAAAATCAATGACATTGTTTTGTTGCTAACTTTCTAGGCAAGCGATGTTCTCGCTGTGGAGCTACTGCAAAAAGATACTCGCCTTGCTATCACTAGCGAACATGGAAAACCATGTCCTGGTGGAACGTGAGTACAAATATTACAAAATTTTCAATACTATTTATAGCAATTACTTAATATGTATGCATATCATTCTGTTTTGTATTGTTTGATGGCTTTAATAGGCTACGAGTGGTTCCACTTTTTGAAACGGTGAAGGATTTAAGAAATGCTGGCTCTGTGATAAGGAAATTGCTTTCAATCGATTGGTATAGGGAACACATCCAAAACAACCATCACGGTCACCAAGAAGTACATTACCACTAAAATTTAAAACCTTTTCTTTTTCTTTGTAGAATAACGTTTCGAAATCTTTGTAATAATATTACGTGCAGGTGATGGTTGGATACTCTGATTCAGGAAAAGATGCTGGACGTTTTAC